GAGAGAGAGAGAGAGAGAGAGAGAGAGAGAGAGAGAGAGAGAGAGAGAGAGAGAGAGAGAGAGAGAGAGAGAGAGAGAGAGAGAGAGAGAGGCGACCAGTATAGTAGTATAGTATGCACAAAGTACATGCAAACTGTGATACTGCTCTGAACTACCTGCCTACCTATGCACATAGTATGTGAGCATGCATGCCCGTGGAGGTGGGCTCAGCAAGGACACGTGGCACATTGGCAAGAGGGTGCAGAGCAAGTACGGCACAGAAGACGGATGCAAAGCAGACACATGGAAGCTCAGCAGTCAGCAGCATCATGGCTTTTCGACTTCACAATTTGGTAGTACGGTGCAGAGGTTTTACACAGGGACAAGTGTACTACGGTGTTTAGTACCCCGGGCTCTGGTGTGCTGGTGGGGGTCACAGGGGGGAACGTGGGGGGGGAGAGTGAAGAGGTGCTGAGCCCGTGGAGCAGCGGCACAGACGAGTTGAGGGCCCGGGTGACCAATCAGGATATAACTTTTGTATTTTATGTACATATCACTGATAGCAGGGCAAGGTAACAAAAGAAAACAAGGAAAAAAAAAGGTGTACCAAGACATGATGATCTGCTTATTAGTTTGCAGTGTGGGATTTACGATCAGAAAGCTGATTCGTTTGCTGCTTGCAGCTTGCGAGATTAGTGATCCTGTATTCAATTTGGCTGTACGATGGATATAGTATTATAGACAATTTATAGTCTGATTTTGTTTGCAGAACTTGTATTTTAGATCTAGCTGTTGTCATGATTTTCGCATGTTTAGCCTATAGTCAAATTTTGTTTGCAGTGCTTGTATTTTATTTATTTATTTGTTTATTTGTTTATTTTAGTGCTTGTATTTTGGATATAGGTGTCGTCATGATTTTCGCATGTTTAGCCTGATTCCCGACAGAGGGTTCTGTTCTTCAGCATCTTAGTTTCCTTGCTATTACTTATGAATGATGAGGTGGGGATCTGTGCATGACATTGTGCTAAGATTGGTTCCCTGCATGTCATGACATTGTGTGTCATGTGTCTATTTTGTTCATAATGTTGCTTGCATCCACCGACTTTGACCAATGCATAGGTGTGACTTTATGAATGACAAGATTTTTGTTTTCCATGAAGACATCGTCACTATATACATCTATAGACCTTTGATCAGTCCATGTGTATGGTGCACACCTATGTATCCCCCGCGGCGGCGGCCGTGGCAGCGGTTTCCGCCAAGGCCACGACCCCACGGTCACGGCCGCACGGTCGACGGCTTTCACGGCTGTGATTGATCTGTTGGGATTGGTTGATTGATTGACTGACTGATTGATTGATTGATTGATTGATTGATTGATTGATTGATTGATTGATTGATTGGTGGAAGAGGACACGCACAGATCCTTACATCTACAGTAGACACACTAAAGCGTCAACAGATCTACAAGCCGATTCTGTAGATCTGTATACATAGTTTACATTCTATACTTAGTCTATACACGGTCTGCAGTCTACACGTTTACAGATCTATAGATCTTTTAATCTGTAGATATATAGAACAGTACAGACCTACAGATGACTCAGAGGCACAAACAGCTTTATGATTGGTGAGTTCGTCATATTAGTAGGCGTTTTTCAGGCTGCGCCTCCATGAGCCTCAGCGAATGTGATTGCAGAAACGGAATCGTTCCTCCAGTTCGCTATCAAGCAAAGGTCCCAGAGAATCACCTTCCCCAGAATCCCCAATGCCCAAAACTCCGTAACAAGCAGACACATCAACCATGCGCAGGGCAGGTTCTCGACATGAAATCTCATCCGAATCTGATTAGATACACAGCGAGAACTTCAAGAGGTAACGCGATGAGTCGATGACAACGTTTGGCTGACTCAGCGGTTGAACTCAGAATTTTCAAGAAGATTCAAGCACACAGAAATCAAAACAAAAGCATGACCTTTGACTGAACTGAGCTTTCAAAAAAAACAGTCTAAGACTTTCTGTAATCTGCTAAATCCCGCGAATAGTCCCCAGTCAGACCCAGACACAGAACAAGCACAAAACGGCCACATACATTCTGGGCTCAAAGGACGAGTCCTTCCAGGCCTCTTCTGAGTTCCAATCGACGTCCAGGTAGCCAAATGATAGGCGTGGTTGTCTGACCGGTTAGACGGTCAGGTCGGGCTCAGCTCATCAGAACTGCAAGGTGATTGCAACAAAATAATCCTCTCTCTCTCTCTCTCTCTCTCTCTCTCTCTCTCTCTCTCTCTCTCTCTCTCTCT